AGTTCATCCGTCCTGAAGGCTACCAATCGTCACTGGGTGCCAGTCCTGGGATTCGTAGGAAATCCGATACAACGCCCGAAGCGTAGAAAATCAAGGTCTCACTTGACTCTCAATTTGAAAAGGACACCCTGAGCTATCAGTCTGTGAAAACAAATCAATACAATCCTATTGGAAAATTTTTACACGCGAGCTAATTTTCCAAAGATCCCCTGGAAAACCTGTTCTAGAAACCTCTTCTGGAAAAAGTTTTGGTTGTGAAAACATGTCTCCAAGTCTCCTCTTTCGAATGGTGAAAATTGAAGCTCTTTAGCTTTTTCCTATCGAAAGTTATTCAAAAAACAGTCATAAATCATTCTTTTTTGGATGGATAATAAAACAATGTTTTTAAATTTTTTTCTTTATGTAATAAAACAAGACTTAATGACATATTGCTTCAATTTTCCGCAGGTATTATTTTGCAAATAGGACTGTAAACTAGTAGACTAGGTTAAATTCATGTTAGTTAACAGTAATTAATCAATAACGGGAGAAAAATAAGAAAAAATTTTTATATATTTTTTAGTCGTAAATATTTTACACGCATTTCTCTATCGATCTACGCAAGAATCAAGTTTTTATGATGAATGGAAAATAAACAGGAATAAGTCGAAAAAACTTTGAAGCACATACTTTGTAGTATCTTGTACAAACCGGGAAGGTTTGACAAAAATCATCAAAAAATCTAAATAGCCAGATCTTCTTAAAAATCTTTTAAAATATAAAGTTTTGAAAGGGTCTATGAAAACTCAGTTTAAATTTTCAACGGCTGAAATAGCAATGTGTTTCTTTCTTCACATGAGTAGTGGGTTCAAAGTGTTCTATAAGGAAGGGCGTCCTCTAAACTTTTAACGTATCAGATTTTTTCGAAAGGCTATGACTACTTCGCTTTGACTCCTGTTTGCTACTATTAACTGAAAATTTAGTATTATCAATAATTAAAACCGTAATTTTATGCGCTAATACGTATTTTTTCGTTTGTTGCTTGTGCGACGAAATCAAAATCGTTTTTCGTTTACATTTCTGGACAAAGAAATAGCACCGATTTTCCACTGGTTTTTTTTGTTGAATAAAGAAAATTTTAGTTTATTTTTTCTTACAATGTTTTTTAAAAAAGTCATTTTATTTTTGTTAATCATACCATTTGCATGGGAATCAATCATTGTTCAACATATAAAGCAAGCAGAAAAGATGTAAGTATACATATACGCGTAGACGAACAATATGAATACGTTAAACTATCAGTTTTGTTTTAGTAATGTTGATGAGCAAATAAAATCCATTATAAAACGTAGTAAATCACGAATATATCAAGAAAGAGAAAATATTCTTAATGAAAAAGTTCAAAATCGACAGAAACATTTGAATGATGTTGTTGTTGCTTTAGCCGATGTTCAACAAAAACAAAAACAAATAACAGATAAGGAATCGGTATGTGTGTATAGGTGTGTTTCACTTTTCTAGTGTCAACTTCCAGTTGAGTTAATTTTATTTTTAGCAACAGTATAATTATTTAGGAGGACTGATTCCGGAATATAATAATAGAATACGGATTTTGGAAAACAGACTAGATGCAGCTAAAATGGAATTAGAAATGTTTAAAAAATCGAACGGAAAACTCGTGCCTGTTCGCCGACAGTCCATAGTCACAGCGTCATTATTTCCGTTGCCAATTAAGGGAGGCGGATATGATGTACAGGTAAATCTTATTCACAATCACATAAGAAGATAATTTCTTGTTCTTATCAAGATTTTCATCTGGATTTTGAATAAAAAAGGACACGATACAAACAGATTTAACCTAGAAATTGCTGTCTTGAATACTTTCCATCTGATAGATATGTCATCTAAATGTTGATAAAACTTTGAGAGAATGGCATGCATATAAATCATTACAGGATTTCTGGAATTGTAGAGTTATTTAGATATTAAATGTAAGGATGTAAAATGTTTCTTTGCAGAAATAGTATGAATTTATCATTAAAGCTAAAAGGTTTCAGGTATTTTGACATCTCCTTTCGATATGGATCATTTTTTAACAAATTTAAAAGTATTTATTGTATGACTCTTGTGAAAAGAACTGAAGTAAAATACTTGTGTTATCTTACGTTAAGTCATTATACGTTTCTAGAAATATCTGTGACTACTATGAGCATTATTCTCACGGTATTCAGCCTTCTTTTTCTTGTAGACGAGATCTAGTGTGGGGTGGGATAGACGTAGAAATACCTCGAGGTTTGTCAGGATGATGGTACTAAGCATATTTATCTCAATTGCTACAATAGCTGGATTGATTTGGAAAACTAGAAACGTCAGACCACAAGGTTAGTGACTAATGTAGTCGACGCTGAGAAATAAAAAAATTCAAATCAAAAAGCAGCGATGAAGTGCGATACAATAATTTTAGCTCTTATTTCCCACGTCTTTTAACAAGGCTAAAATAATTTACAAATGTAACTTTCGACAATATGGTCGACCATCTTATCTCAATTTTAGAAGTAACCACTCAGCGCACACATATAGAAGCAACAACGATGGATGATAAGTTCATCGATCAACAGGGTATAATAAAAGATGCACTCATAAACGCGACAGTTCAAAATGTTACAACTCCGATTGAGACAATTCTAGGAGGAATCAAAGATGATAGTAAAAGAATTACAATAGCATCCAGACTCGCTAATGCTCAGATTAGTCTACCAACATCCGTCATTGTTATGATTGTTTTATCAATAATTGTTGCGCTCATTCTTATCGGTGGTGTAACATTTTGCGCAAAACGTCAACATAAAAAAGAGAAGCATCCAAGAGAATCTTTAAAAGATGCATCAGCAAGTTCATCTCCAACGCCACTCATTTTTTCAATAAAATCTGGGGGCGAAAATGAACAGTAATTAAGAAAAAACTTGAGCTTCTACTATGCGGAAAAGATCGAGTAAGATCTAAAATTTTTATAAAACAGACTTGCTTCGATCAGAAACGCATAACGTAGTATCCGGTGCATATCTCATAATTTTGCTGTTTCTTAACAGTTTCGTCTATCGACTTTTTTTGTACGTGTGGTGTTCTCTCGAATTTTTAAATATTTTGTTAGATACGGTCAAAACATAGTAGATTACATGCTGTTAGCTATGCTCAGCACGAACATTACGTTTAAGACTTAAAATAACGCTAATTTGTCACAGAAAATGAAGTTACAAGACGAAATGAGATTTTTGTCAGTCGTATGAATTTACCTCTCTCATCGTGATAGAAAAGAGTTATTAGAAACTAGAATCGATCAGATATTATACAAATAGTTGCTTGTTTCGAATATGTCATTAAAATGTCTCAAAACCCGTTTGCACACCATAATATAGGATGTATCCGCGCGGGTTACTCTGAGTTCGTCCCAACTTGACTTCTCAATTTGTCCCACGAAGCTTTTTTTTCTCAGTTCGTCCCATATCAGTTTACACTTAATTACCTTTAATATAATTGTCCGTATCTCTGGCGTACGGTGATATATATGACTGTTGTGGGTGTATAAACAGTTATATTGGACAAACAACGAGAGCTGAAAAGCGAAAACAAGAACATACCGATGCTTTTCCAGGTATTGGATTCTCGAGGATTGTACGACTAAATAATGGACTAATTTACATGTTTGTGTTCTTTACATCTGTTTCTTTTTCTATTTCTTCTGTGCTTCAAAGAAGAGAAATATTTTTTTTGGTGTATTGATACTCATTATGATTCAAACTGGTTTCTCTTTTTCAGTAGACGTGAAAATTAACATTTTGATGAACAAAACAATTTAACTTATTTAGATTTCAATTTGTGATAGTAGCGGCTAACACGACACATTTTGCTACGTACACGCACCTAGTATTGTCTACAATATCATCGCAGTTGACTAAACTGTTCGATGATACAACACTTTATTTATTTTGAGGTGTGAGCATAGATATCTGGGACGAATTGAAAAAAAAATATATGGGACGAACTGAGAAAAAAAGCTTAGTGGGACGAACTGAGAGGACGCCGAATTTAGAAAGCACAATCACGTTCATGAAAGAACTGTCTAGTACAATCAAAAATCCTATTCTTTCCTTCCGCATAGGCTACCTAATGTCACATTTGTATTTCTGGATGCGAATAAAAAAGATATGCTATACGCTAAGACTCTAATGTCAAATCTTCTTTTCTTTTTCTATTAGCTCGAAAATAAGGAATGAAAGAGAAACAATATGATACTTATTCACTTATCGCGGTTTTTTCGACACCAAGATGTGATGAAAAAACCGCCCACTAAAAAAGCGTCAACCTTTGGACGCTTTTTTTTTACCGTGTATTTTTATAAAGAAACTAATCTGACATATAATCCAAATATATAAAAAGAAATTCAAGTTGGCTACTAGAGTCTTACAGGACAAACTTTTCTGTTACCTCGAGCATGTGAGCAAATAATGTAGTCCTGAACCCGTCTGTCACGCCAAAAAACTTTACCGGCTTTTTTTATCCCGTAAATTTTTTAAAAAATTTTTGATGTTGAGGTAAACCGTAACTATTACTAGAGACGCTTAAAATCTCAAACTTATTTTTGCAAAATTCCCATGACAAAACTTTAAACCTAATTTATTTGGTTCTAAACTTAAAGTTCCTGTTTAAAAAAATGTTTTACATTCGCTCACCAGCTAAGAATTGAAAAGAAAGTACTGTAAATCAAGTTTTAGATATGAAACATCTTCTCAAGTTTAAATCTAAACTATTTCACCTCTCCAAGTGTATTGGATACACAGACTAGTTCCAGTGCCATAGACGGTCGTGCTCAGCGACGTAACCAGAATTTTTAAGAGCGGTGGGCACAAAAAAATTTCTCATTTCCCAACATAATTTTTCCCGTTCTGAGATACTTCTGTTCCCACTCAGTAAATTTGCCCTTTTCCCAAGTATATTCCAATTTTTTCAAAGAGCTAAGAATAAGAGAAATACATGCTTAGACCACATGCTAAAACGGTAGTACATTATGATGAAACAGAACATTTTTTTTGCTTAACACATTAATAAGAAGGAATCGAATAATTATGACTATGTACACATTAGAAAATACAGAACAAACAAGAAAGATGTTTTCTTTTTCATGCTGCGTCACTTTCTATTCTAACTAAAAACGAAAAAAATTCAAATTCTAGAGGAAATAAAACTCTAAGAGGGTGTTCCCCTGGCTGGCTACATCGCTGGTCGTGCTGTGTATCTGTTCAGGACTAGTTCCTCAATTTGTACACCATCCCGGATGGACTCTTATGACACTCGAACAAAGTAGCACATCCGTTCGCTCTTCTCTAGGATGAGTCCATTCTATGTTTAAGACTAGTTTTTCAACTCGTTCCTCACTTGTTTGAAAATACACTATAATTTATTTATTTAATCAGATAAGAAAATGTTATTTGTCAGCAATTCTATTTACCTACTCCAATAACTGTATTAAGAAGCTTTTTTTCTTCCTTTTTCTAATCGTTTCTTTAGTCAATAAAGTACACATAAATTCTTCCTCTCTATTTATTTCATTGGAATATGCCGTTGATTTTACAAGTACTACTCTTTTACTGTACTTTACTATTTACTCTGTCATCGATTCCGACTATTATTGAAACAGATATTGGTTCCGATTATGACGATCAGTTTGCCTTGATCTATCTTCTATCTCGCCCAGATTTATTTGATTTAAAATTAGTAGTGGTCTCAACGTATAACACAACAGCAAGAGGACAAATCGTAGCAAAAACATTAGCCGCATTCAACAGATATGATGTGACATTGGCATTAGGACGATATACAGAAAATAATTGGCCGGAAAACAATATTTGGGAATATGAATGGGCAAAAGATTATACATTAGAAGAATTTCAGCAGCACGGTGGTAAGTTTTACTTAATTTTTTCTAAAGTAGTTAGTTATTCACAAGTTTCTCTTTAGGTAAAGTTGAATATGATGGTGAATCAGCTTTACTTCAAGAATTATTAAAATCTACAACTACCAATGTTTATAATTTCATTCAAATATCGCCAGTCACATCACTTGGTCATGTACTCAAACAAAATTCAAATTTAAATCTGACCAATGTAAGATTATTCGCTATGGCTGGATCTATTTATCAAGGATACGTCAATCAAACATCAGCAGATATTGAATATAATATTTTAAATAATATTCCAGGTGCACAATTAATGTTTAAGAAAAAATGGAAAGAGTTTATGCTAGCATCATTGGGTGGGTAAGAGATTTCATGGAATATAATCGCGCTTGCACTATTTCTTCTCATTTTGCTTAGATTGTACAAAATATTTTCAATTCAATGGTCCTATTTGGCAACAATTTCTTAATCATTCTATGAGTAAATTAATTTTGGATAGCTTTAAAATATGGTATGAAAATGGTGGTAAACATTTGGATACACTTCAACCTTATTCACCTCTATTTGGTACAAGCGCATTACATGATTTATTGGCTGTTTATTTAGTTATTAATGATCGAAATACAATAATTAGTGAAGAATTGCCATTGATAATTACAGATCAGGGCTATACAATAATTAATAAGTCGACTGGCATGCCTGTACAAACATGTTTAAGGTTTAAAACAAATGAATCAGTGAATGAAATTGGAGCAATTATATTAAATACCATAATAAATGCGAGAAGTGAATGCACAACTATTTACGTGAATATATTTTTATCAGTGTTTTCGTTATTTATCGGTATAATAGCAACGTTTAGTCAGCAGTATAGGTGAATTGACGCACAGTTGAAACTAAATGATTATATCAATGAAAATTTCTATGCAAAAGAAAAAATACAAAAACAACATCAAACGGATAAGAAACATTAGCTTGAAAACCATGAAGCATCAAACGCAGCAAACTTATCGATATTTTCAAGACAAACAACAGAAAAATGCCTTTGGAGCCTTTCGTAGATTGAATGTAGTTTTATGAAGGAAAGTCGCAATGAACATGAGCACGTCTCATTTTGATCAGAAATGTTCGTTCTGTAAAACTCAGCTTTTTAAAATGGTTCTCAATTCAATCAAAGACCTTGATATAAGGGTCAAGGATCCTATTTTTATTAATGTCGATGAAATTTTTAGCAAACTCGTTTAGTTAACCAAATCCTCTTTAAGAGATTTGTTCTATCTATAATTGTCGAGAAAAAAGGTAAAAAAATACAAGTACCTTAAACTTTTGTCCACTACTTTAGGCTTGTCTAACGCTATTTTTATTTAACTGTGTGATATTTCGACAACTTTCAATTTAAAAATTCTGATAACAATTGAACAATCAAACGTTTTATTGAAATTAAGTACAAAAGGTTTTAGACGTAAACCTCAGTTATTTCTTAATTCCTGTCTCAAGCGTTTTATACTCTAGAAAATTTCTTCATCATCAGGCAATAAACAACTCTTATTTAATATGTCTGAACCAAAATAATTTATACAACTCTAAATATAAAAAACAAATAGAATCTATACTGATAATTATTATTCCTAGTTGTTGCTTTTACGGATCGTGTACAAGTAATTTACTCTTAATTCCTATAATGATAAGCAAGACATAAATGCAAAACAAGTAAACAGGGTTATGAACGTTTATAAACAAATCATATCTGGCTATTACCAGTCCAGAAATATAGGATGAGCTTTGTACCATACAGCACAACCAAACTGTACACAAAAACGTTCAAGATGTCATAGATCTCTATTACTGCCAGATAGAAAAATAATGACTTCTCTAATAAAAATTAATCATAAATTACTACAGAGCACCGAGAACGGAGGATATCCAGTTTTTTCTCTTGAATGCGGAATAAAGACTGTTGTGTGAGAAAGAGATGTGAGCAAAAAATTTTTCAATAAGGCACAAAAATGAGAAACGCTTATTTGCAGAAGATAACATGGAACACTTCTTGCCATACACTCGATTCTTTTGCACAACTATCGGATCAACTCCTTTAGCACTCACACACCCTCCTCTACCTTGTATACGAGTTCGAAAGTAGAACGATTCGCCTTCTGAAAGACAGAAGATGAACGACTGGCTTTACTAAACAACTTTTAAGCCAATCATTTCGTTCAGTCTTTATCAATGCCTGCTATTTACAGCTAAAATAAGTTAACCTATGAATTTTCCATAACGTTCAATAGGTACAAATTCTGCCTTCAGGTGGCCCAAACGAAATATCACCGTGAATCCAACACTACCGTGTTTGGATGTTGTTCACATTTGCTAATACTTTTACTCTTAGAATACATCTTTATTTTAAATAAGATTTAGAACAAAGCTACAAAACACACACACACACACACATAAACTGACAAAAATACTGTTATATTTCTTATGTGGAAGACATGACTCGGATTACATGAGTTTGGGATCATGGTTTAGGCTTTCCAACAAAATTGGGTAATCCACTTTGATAATTTGCAGATAAACTATTTCCACAACAGACATAAGAGAGCGTAGAATGAACTTAGCTCGTCGTTATGAAGAGAAAAACAATGGATATTATGGTTTCTTTATCCCTTTTTACCCTGCTAACAATTATACAAAATACGTTTCACAATAAAAAAAAGTTAAACACAAACATTCGATAAGTCAATCATTTTATTGTCACTGACACTACAAAAAAAGTCAAAAATCAGAAAAAATTTAAAAATATGATTAAGAAAAACAAACAAAAAAATCGTTTCTTCAAAAATCTACCCGACAAATATATCATATACAATAGAAAACAACAACAGACTTGACATAGACAGGGATATAGAAAAAGAGCATAAATTATAGATCATTTGTCCGCAGCCTTATGGGTCTCGATAAGATGTATCATTCAGATTCTTTAAAAATATATCCCACATATAAAAAACACTTAAGAAAGACATATTAGCAAATAATCTACTACGAACAATCATCACATGTTTATAATGTTGACGTATAAACATTTGATTTGAGAACGTGTTTACGATAGTGCTTATTCATTTGTTCAATGAATATAAAAGTTAAAATTGTATGTGGACCAAGACGACTAAAATATGGTGTAAAACCCTTCCAAAAACTAGCTATACCTTCTGAACGTAATATACGTGTAAATACATCCTAGAAGAGACAAACAATAAAACATTAGATAAGCAATTATACTTGCAAGAGAAGAAGAGTTACATACCAAAATACTACGATATTCTGGTACCCCATTGATTGTTTTCATATTTTGATATCTAGATGAAACAAAAATCAGTCGTTTCACAAATGAAGAGAAAACAAGATTTTTAACATTCTCAAGTATAAACAAATTCAACAATAAAAATGTGATGAGATCACTATACTTGTTTCAAAAATTTCATATGAAAGTCGTTCATTTCTACAAAATCATAAAACTTTAGTTAAGACCAAACTACAATTTTTGAGTGTAGCTTATCGTAATCTAAAATACGGCTGAGTCTATTTCGAAAAAATGATTTTAAGTTAGACTTAAATTAGATACCCAACTTAAGTCACACTTGAGGGGAAAACTAAGATGATTTGAATATCGAAGAATTTTGAGAGAAAAAATAGAAAGATATAGAAGAGAATAGGAAAAAGAAATAAGAGAATAAGAAGAATAGAATAAGAAATTTGATATCGAGCCTAGACATTTAACTTAACTTTAGCTGATTTTTTATGTAATACGTTTATGTGTATTCTACTGACCTTGTTTTGACAATATCGATCGGCAATGAAACGGCTGTTGTCACCAGAGCACTAATCATACTCGCTGTACTATGAAGTGGAAGACCTTGTTCAAAGTACTTTGTCGCTAACAATATTTCTTTTGCTTGTGAATACGTGGGCATTTGTGCAGCGTTTACGATCATTGCACGACCAGCCGTAGGCATAGCACCACGCCACAATTTAAGCACACCTAAAGTAAGTGACGAAAAATTTATTTTTAATTATTAGTCAACTTTTTTATATTTTTAAATTTTTAGTTTTAGGTTATCACAGGGTATCCACGGATGCCACAAGTCTCTTGATCTTTTTGTGATATCCTGCTCTCTTGAGTAAATAAAATCTTATCTTATCTATTAGTGACTATAGAACTTTTAGTTTTAAAGAATTATTTGCATCACTCTTAGCGTTGCTCTCACTTACCTTCTTCTTTTGCGATTCGAATAAGTGCATTAAATACATTTGTATAATTTCTTCTCTCTTGCATCGGTAATCTTCCATCTAATGTCATTCTTACCAGTGCTACTTCAGCTGGAGTTCCCATAAATGAACCAAGACCACCACTCACAATACCCAATAATAAATTTGTTAAAAATTTTGGTGGTCGACCATCTTCTCGACGAAAATGTTCAAATAAACTTTGATAGATACCCAGACGAGCAGTAGTATACGTTGCTTGACGAAAGAGACCGGCGGATAACCTAATAAAAAGAACAATGAGATAATAGTCTTTTACGAACTATATAAGCTAACCTACCCAGTATACATTCCTCGAAACCCTTCGGTTTTCCATATTGCGCGTAGTGCATGAAAACTTGTTTTGTGTTCCTTAGCTTTTCCACCTTCACCTATAGAAACAAGTGATAAAAATAAACAACACGTATTTTAAGAGAGAATAAACAACGCACCACTCATTTGCATTCTATTTTTAAGTAGATCTAACGGTTGAACAAACAATGTTGCTGACATACTAGAAAGAATAAACAAAAACCGATTAGTTTTAATACAGACCGTGAATATAGGTTGTCTTACCCAGCTAATCCACCAAATAAAAATTTGATATAATTCGGTGTTAATTTTTCCGCTACTGACTTGGCAGATGTATCACCCGCCATTTTTCGGTCTAGAATTGTAAAATAGTAGACTACGTCTCAAAAATGAAGTTATGTTAGAGCACCAGCTAAAAAACTATATCCATAGAAATATTTTCGTTTTGTGAAAAAAGCTAAAACCATCTTTTTCTTCGAAGAACGCAGAAAAACTTTCTGTAGTAGTCATTTTATCTGAGGACAGCTAGAAACTTAGAAGATTCAATAGAGTAGCATGATAATATAGGATATCATTTCTCATAATATAGGAGTCTAGGGTCATGCAAAATGGTTGTCTGTGTCTGTGCGCAAAATATGGAAAAATGACTTGCAGATATTCCATGGATAAGCCAATCATAAAAGAGAAAAATAGAAAATTATTTTTTACCCGAGATAGCGAAAATATTTAAAGAGATTATCTGTCAGCTATTAACTGAAATAATATTTACTGATGTAGAGAGAAAAAAAGCTGAACAAACTTTTTCGCTAGTTAGCACAGAGAAGTCGCCAGCGGGGTGTTTCACAGAAATTCTTACGTCTTCGACTTAGACGTTTTGTTTTAAGTTAAGCTAGACTTAATTTTGAGCGTTTCATAGAATTTCTTAAGTCATAGACTTAACTTAAGTTAGACTTTAGTCCATGTTTAAGTCAAGAGTAGTCTGTACTTGTCTTCAGCTTGTCTTAACGATTATAATATGATATAAAAATTGAAGTATTAAAGTAAACAAACAATATTTTTTAACTGTTTTCTATTGACACTTGTATTTTGAGAAATAAATAAAAGAAATAATGGCGCTAGTTAATCAGTGGCTGTTGAGAAAGGCGTTACGCTGTGAAAGAAATTTTTTTGACAGATAAAACTTTATGGAAACCATGGCAGACGATTTATTGATGGCGCGTTATCGTTTTCATTAACATGTCTTACAAGTGCCTCCAATATGTCCGCCCTAGTGGAAGTACTCATACGATGAGTACGACTTTACTCATAATTCGTCCATAAGTACTCATATTAGTACTACCAACAATTTCTGAGTATTGTTACTCAGTGAGTACTCAGTTACTTATGTGAGTACTCAGGAAATATTCATTCACCATTTTATTTTGCTAAACTGAAACTGTATAAAGAATGTAGAATTTAGTGAAGAAACACAGAATATTT